CATTTTTCCAAAACAACCGACTGCGGAGTTTGTTAAAGAGAGATGATCAGCCCGATTCGTACCTTCCTCAAAGTTGTCATTGCTCGTTTTCTACTCTCTATATACAATTTTCACACTGCCGTACTCTAACGGAACTATCAATTCTATACTTTCATCTCCGCATCTATCGCAGGGCTGGTAGCGAGTCACTTTCTAAAATTATTCAATATCTTGAAGTTTCGCATTCCATGTACACGTTCAAGATATTGAAAATTTTCAAAGCACCAGAATCAAGGAAAAAAATAAATGATTTATTTCAAGTTCGTAATTAATTTTATGAAAGATTAAAGATCTTCAATGCAGTCCCATTAACTTCACAACAATGGTACGAGCTTTTGAGAAGTTTTGAGTAATGAAAAGAAATGCTAAGAATTTCAGTGAAGCTCCATAAACAAACTGCGGGAACATAAGGGAAGTTAATACGCTGAAAATATGGGAACTTACTGGAAACTTTAACAACCTCAAAGCGGTTCTTTTAGCATCCTAAAATTTCCAGGAACTTTTATGAAGTTCCTAGAATTTCAGAGAACTTCACAGGTGTCAAGCGAACTTGAGAAATATAGAAAACATGAGGGGTATTGTGTAAATTTTTAAGAAGTTTTAAGTACCTCAGAAAAGCTAGATCTAGAGATCTTTGGGGAATTTCAGATCTTAAGAGCAGTTTCCGTAGCTTTAGTCCAGACTTTTGAAGCAGTTTAAAAATCTATAATCGTAAATTTAGAAGAAAAAAATCAGGATAGTTCCATAATGTGCTGAAAAAAAAATCGAGAACCCTTAAGATGTTCCGATTCAGGGATGTACAGAGGCCTTCAGAGAAATTATGAAAACTTCAGAAATATTTCAGGAACTTCACAGAAGCCCAGAGAATTTCAGGGAAATTCAAAGGTGTTTACGGGAATTCCATTTATTTCCGAGCAGAACTGAAATCCTCAATATAATTTAGAGCTTTAGGGAAGCTTCGGGAACATCAAGACAGATTAGAGAATCAAAGGGCAGTTCAAATAATTTCTATGAATTGTAGAAACCTTAACGAAGTTTCCCCGGAAACTTCAGCAAAGCTCCGAGAGAATTTCAGGAACGTGATAAAAATTATACGAACATCCGGGAAACGTGAGAGTATTTTAAGGGTGTTATATCATGGAGCTTTCAAGAACTTGAAAAAATGCGAAAATTTAGCTTAGTTGATTAGGGAACATCAACAAAGTTCCATTAATTAAAAAAATGCGAGAACTTTTAGCAAGGTTTAAAGAAATTCAGAGAACTTCTAAAACATTTAGATATTTTTTTAGATGGTTTCATGATATTCAGCGAAGTTACGAGTACTTCGAGGACGATCAGATAGCTTCAGAATAATCCCATTAACTTAAACAAATTTGAAGGATTATCATACAAATTTAGAGAACTTCAGGAAAGCATAAATAAGTTCAGGGAAAATTAGTGAGCGTTTATAATTAATATAATACGTAAGGAAAATTGTCGAAACTTCAAGGCAGATAATTTAATTTCAGTCAAGATGCGGGTTCTTAAAAAATACTGATAAATTCATGGCAGTCTAGAGAACTTTGAGGAAATTCAATAATAACACATTTTAGAACTAGTTCTAGTTTAGAAGTAGTTCTGAAGACCTCAGAATAGTCCATTTCGATGAAGCTTCGATTTCAATTTTGTTTTAGTTTTCCTCGGAAATATCTTGAAATTCACCACAATAAGAAACCCTTTGGAAAGATTCTCCGAATATTCATTGACTTCATTTCAGATTTCTTTTTGAATCTCACTCCTTCCTTTTGAATTCTACTCACATTGAAAGTCTCCTATGAATTCATTGGCATTTCTCCTCACAAATTCTTTAGATTTCTTCTCATAATTTGTTTGGCAAACTCTCCTGAATTCTCCTGAATTCCTTTGAACATGTTCTGGAGTTATTCTCAGATTTAATTGTAATACTTCTTTTAGTATTTTCAAAAAGATTCCAAGGACTTATGTCCCGGATTCGTTTTCTCCCACATTCTTTAAGAAATTATCCTTAGAAGACCCTTGGAATTTTCCTCTGAAGGAGTTGCTCTTGCTCCTCAAAGAGTTTTCATTAAAATTTGCTTTCAATTCAATTCAGGGTTTCTTCAAATTCTACGCAAAACTATCAGGCTTTACGAGAAATCTTAAATTCCTCAGAACTACCTTGAAAGCAGACTGCATTTGATGTTTTTTTCTGGAAGATTTTTTTCCCAGAAATTCTTCAAAATGAGGTCCTAAGAAATTTTAATAAAATTCCACGAGCTTTTAAAACTGTGCATGGAATTTGACTTCAGATTCTTGAAAATTTCTTGAAGTATTATCGCTTTTAAGTCCAGAACTAGTTCAAATTTAAAATTTCTAGGAAATATGCATGTTCAAAAACAAAAAAAACAACATTTCAAGTCTCGATTTTTTTTTTAAATTTATTCGTTACTGAAGATTAATCCACTATATCTTTAATGTTAAAAGTGTGAATGAAAATAACGAGAAAAATGAAATGCTTCTATTTTAAAATTAATTATTTTCTTTAAAATATCCTTAGTAATAAAATTATTAAATTATTTGAACCCTACAAGTATTTTAAGAAAAAATAAAGTTTTCTGAGGATTCCCGGTTTTCCAGGTGTTTTCAGTTATTAGACACCCTGACTAATAACGTGGGTTTGGTCATAAGCTTTCTATTGAATCTTTCGCTTAAAAGGTTCATATCGTACATAAGTGAGATATTTATTGAATAAATCTAAAACATCGAACATTTATTTGGTGTGCCATCAGAACAACTACTTTTCTTCTCTTAGGTAACTTTTTAGTCACTATTTTTACAACTATAAGTCACTATTTGGTCACTTATTTCTTCAACATGGTCACTAAAATCACTATTTTTGACAGCAGTGATTGCTACCAGCCCTTCTATCGTATAAAAATGTTATTTGAAACTAGCATCTTCAACTATGTAAAATCGTTAACTTCACGTAGAAGTAATACAAACATAAAAAGTTAAAGTAAAAAAAAAAATATTTAAGACAAAAGAGTGTATAAAAAGTTACTTTTGAAAAATTTAAATTTTAGGGGCCACCCCAAGTTACTTCCCAACAAACAATTCAAAGTCACAAATAAGCATACACATTGAATAAATGCTGTATAACAGTGTACAATGCTGAATAAAACAGGATGTCGAATTATGTGCTGAAAAAGCTCATTGAGATCGATAGATGCGCATTTATTCCGCCGTTTGCTCTGATATGATTAATTTCCTTATTAAAAGCTTTATAAACGTTGACTGCCTTCCTTATTCAGAACCAGAAGTTTTATCTAATAACAAACTGAATAAGTGTAATTTGCACATACATTGTCGCTTTAATTCGACTGTTTTCAATTGATTTAATAAAATGCTTTATTAAACGTCTTGTAAATGTTTTCTAGCTCCATTATTAGATTTCATTGCATTACTTTACAATATTGCTGTATAAAGGTGCATACACTCAGCAAAATAGCTCTTATACCACCCAACAAACAATTCAGAGTCACAAATAAGCATATATATTGAATACATGCTGAATAAAAAGAATTGTCGAATTATGTGCTGAAAAAGCTTATTGAGATCGATAGATGCACATTTATTCAACTGTTTGCTCTGATCTCATCAATTTACTTATTAAAAGCTGTAAAAGTGTTAAATGTCTTCCCAATTCATTCCTGATAGGTATTTACTTTCATGCAAGCTTTTATTGATTATTGAGTTGCCTATATGATGAATTCTAGGATAGCTCAGATCACAAGGCAAGCGGCTGGTGATCGGAAGGTTCGAATCCCATACAACGACATGTATAAGTATTTAATAAATTTTCTAATATCCGTGTGGTGCGAGCCACGTCAGAAATAATGAAATACAATACACTTAAGAAACACACCCTTTCCCTGTCCCCGTCCCTCTTATTTTCGGGTTAATTTTCCCACAGTTGAATAATAGGTTTAATAAATGTATAATAATGTCTTCACATGAAAATCAAGCGTATACAGAGCATCACTGTTTTAAGGAAGTCGAATAAAAGCTTTTCGACATAACTTATACAACACCAGTAGTTCAATGTTGTGGTTGAATAAATTCTCCAGATTTGTGTGAACAAAGCCTGAACAGAAGTTATTATTAAAAATTGTACAAGTACTATTAAGCATGCAGTTGAATAAAATGGCCAACAAGTCGTTTAAATCGTAAACCATTAGAAATATAAAAAAAAAAAAAAAAAACACTACCGTTAAAACACTACCGCAAAAAAATTGTAAATATCCACTAACCTCGAGACAACCGCGAGTACTCGGTCCAGTTCCTTTAACTTTAAATATAAGACAGTAATAATGTATAACGGAAATGATAGCTCGGCTCTGTAAAGTTTATTCAATTGAGCCTGTACAAATAAAGTAATTATTAAAAAAACACTACCGCATCACCGGGTAGTACGCTGAACAGATGGAGGTTGTGTGTAAACGTCAAATGCAAGGGTTATTGTCTATGTGCGCCACAGGTGGCGATACTACCAACTAAAAACATTTAAATTGACCGTTAAATGCGTGTTCGATGAACAAATTGCCAGTGTTATGTCAGTTTGTCTGTGGTATATCCTTGAAATCGGCACTGATTGCAATTGTTGATATTCAGTGTTTTAGTTTGATCTTTGATTTTGAAACTTTACAAGCAACCCATGTCTCGTAACAGGTCTCACTGGGCATCGGTGAGCACACTTCCTATCTACACATCTTGCGAAAGGAGGTAGATACGATACCCATTGTTGAACGCCTCATGCTATAAGTTTAAGATTTCTTTTTGAGCCGGGAATATTGTCGCAGGGTCCTCTCAGAAACGATTGATAGGATTTAAGGACCACGCGCCACTGTTATTTAGGAGCTTTAACTATTTGCACATAATAATAATTCTTCTCCCCTTTCCACCAGGTGTGTCTGGAGATCTGCGCCTACCTGCGGATCGAGCTGTTCCGCATCCCATACCCGCCGAAGCCGCTCATGACATCACAAGGTACGAATCCCCCGCACCACCATCACCATCACGAAGGTAGAAACGGTACGCATAATAGCAATGCCACCCAACAGCCACAGCAGCAACAGCAGGCAAATCGAAAGCATCAGACGCGCGCTAGCAGTAGAAAGCATAACTCGCATCAATAACGAGTTTGAATTGTTTATTAAAGCTATTATATTTTTTTTTATATGATCGAAATAATTGATTATTGCTTTAGCGGGTTGTCGTTACCAATCGTCCTGTGGTTTGGAGCAGGATCGATGGTGGTTTTTTGAAGAAGTTAACCAGTGAAAGAGATGAAGGCAGGTCTTTTGTTTGTTTGTATCTAAACAGCTAGGATTCAGGAGAACTGAAAGTCAGAACATGTATTTAAATTATTAGGAAATTATCTTGGAATTTGAGTGAAGTAAAACGTCGTAATTTCTAGAATAGCTTAGAATTTTGAATATTCAAATCATGAAGTAGGAGGGAAAGTCGAAATCCCTAAATTGATGTGAGAGCGTGTGTGAGTGTTGACAGTATTGTCCCAACCCACCAAAACCATATCTCTCCGAGTAGCCAAAAAGTCTTGTAAGAAGACTATGAAGTCGAGGAAGAAGCGTTTTAGAGTAGGACAGTTTTCAGGAGCTTTACCTAATTTTACGAGAGCTGAGAGAAAGATGTTACGAGTTCGTTAATTTGCTAGTAGAGCCTCTCCAGATGCTGTACACCGGAACGAAACGAAACGCTGTAACGTTGCTACTGCAGTGTTGTATGCGCGATAAACATCTATGCCTAATCCCGTGACTAATACTATTACGCTATATTCTCGTACTATAGAAACATCGATGTGAGATTCCAAAACTAAACTATCCCCCGTATCTTGTGAACTTAATCTGTCAATTGTCGATTGTCAAATGTGCATTTCTTCGATCTCAAACGATGCTCTGTGTATGTTTGTGTATCTAATTCAATGTCCTGCGCGCTTACCAAACTTTCCGTTCAACTTAAGACAGTCGCAAAAAGGGGGCCCCGGGGGGAAAATACTAGTTGTGAACCGCGGTAGCCTTAAATCAGCTTTAGAGCGTGCTTTTTAGGGACAAAAAAAAACTGTGGATGCAAACAGGGACTCGTGCTTTCTTGAGTTTTGAGAAACTTACTTCATCATATGTACAGTTCTATTCTTATTGCATAAACTCCAATGTTCAACGCAAGGCACATACATGGTAGATTTCTTTCTTCAGTCGATTCATTACACTATTTAATTACCAATTTTCTTAATTTATCATTTGCCTTGAAAATCGAGCTTTCTCCCAGCGACATGGCGAATTCAGACCACACTTTTATAGTACGTTAGAAAACTTGACCAAAAAAATACAAACAAGTCAAGGGAAAAGGATGGCGTTTGATAAAGTTTTATTTATCAAGAACGATCATTGAAGAAATACATTCATTACTCTCGGAAAATAGGCAGGCAAACGATTTGGGAAAGTCATTCAATTAGCGCAACAAAACACGAACCGTTGCAGAAGGGATCTTTGCTCAATTTCCCGGCGTATGGCATTTTAGGGTTGTTAAGTTACCGGTTTTTGAGTTTTCGGAATTTAGGATCAGGCTGCTGTTGAAAACAAGGAAAGGAAACTGAACTCGGTGCGGCGGTGATAGGGGGGAGGGCCAGCAGTTCCAATGAAGTAGATTTGCTGTTGCAGTATGTTATAAACTATTTCGGTGAAAATAGAGTGATGCTCATCGAGGATGAAATTGGGCGTTTTATTTGCGGTTTTGTTGTTCTCTCGTGTAGGTGGGCGTGGAACTTAATGGTTGGTAAATTTTAAGACTCTCTGTTTGAGATGTAACTGCTTTCTAGGGGCCCAATTGGGTCTATATTCTAGGGCAGAATTAGTTGAATTTCGAGTTAAGATGTTGGAAAGTTCGGGTCGAGCCTTTTAGTCACACTATTTTACAGGATCGCAATCGAAAATCTAGGGTCATTTCAAGTTTGATGGGGATGCGGATTTTGTTTGCGAATTTTGGGCTTGGTTTGTCTAGGAAACTCTGAACGTAATGTTAGGAAATGTATAACAAGAATTGCTGAAAAAGAAAGACCTGAGCACTCGTTTCGATTGTCAAGCTAACTGTTGAGACAAGCTATGGTCACTGAACTTCGATACCAAATGCATTTCTCAATGCTCCTTTTAGCTCCAAATGGTCTGAGAAGTTAAGAGAACCTCTAAAAATTTCACACCAAATTCAGTAGAAAACGGCAAGCTTCCACCCAGGAAGAATTAGAAGAGCAGGGATGAATATTTTTTATCTTTCATGTAAAATTATTCGTTGCTACTCGGCTTCGTTGATTTTTGTTTAAGACATTTGAGCTAAAATAAGTAAACGATTGGAAACAAATTCTGAACTTATACAATGTTCAGAAAACTTATGAGAAGTTCAGAGATATTCTGGAAAGAACAAGGAAATTCAGAAATATTCCAGAAAGTTTAAAGCTCATAGGGCCTCTTGAAAGTTTAAAGGAGTTTAAGGAACTCCTGAGTAGCTCCAAGTAACACTGAGAAATTTAAAGAATCTATGTGAGATGCTTAGAGAGCTCCCTAAAAATTTAGAAAACTCACAGGCAATGATGGCATAATCATTATCAAATTGATCATACGCTCTCAATATCACATTTAGATGCTCCTTTGATATTGCGAGACTATTCACAACGTGTAAAGTTGAAGCTGAGAGTTGAATCAACGCAAAAATGATTCCTTTGCACCTCGTTTTTCTTAGGGAGAGAGAAGGTATAATAATGCTATCTTTTTTATCTTCACTGATGGCAGACATTATGGAAGTTTCGATTGTGTTCGGGTGTAAAGCAACAATCATAGTTTGGCAAGATTTGCAGCTGGTGAGTTTTGTTAGCTTGATCTTTTGAGCTACGATATCAGAGCTTATATATCAGCCGCAGTTGATTTTTGTCTACGAAAATCAAGCTTGATCTTGCTCTTTGTTGAGATTTGATTTTTTGATATTTTCCCAACACTGCTTACAGGAATCGCTTAAAGCTTCTTAGAAGTTCAGGAAACCCCTAAAAGTCTTAGAAAACTTCTGGAATCCTCTTGAAAAATTCAGAGTATTCATCGATTGATCCGAGGGGGACGACACATCTAAATCTCAATTCTAGATGCTCAACAAATCTCACACTAGCTAATCAATCTTCGAAAAATCTTCTTTAATTTCTCGCATCTACTTGCATCGTGCATCATCTTTTTGCAAGGAATCTTCAGAATCGTCATAAATCTTCTTACTATCTACTCAGCGTGCGCGCAGCTAACCACAGCAAAAAACAATTTTTCCTTCATCGTAGATAGAGTCACCCCCCTCGGATTGATCAGAGATCTTCTTGGCAGCTTAATGAACTGTTGAAAAGATAAGAAACCTTCTGGAAAGTTCAGAAAACTCATGAGGCGTTAAGAGAACTCCTGGAGGATCCAGGGCCACCCACATTAGATCCGTTTGCGTTGCGTTGACGTAAATTTGACAGTTAGACAATAGATTTAGCTCTCACTTTACCGCAACGCGTCAGTTCTGGATCTAATGTGGGTGGCGTTTCAGGGATCATTTGAAGCAGAACTTTGTGAAAATCAGTGAAGCTGTGAGAATTTCATAAAACTTCTGCGAAACTCAGAAAACGTTTGAGGGACTTAGAGAATCGCTAAGTCACTCACAGAACCTCGGATAAGGTCAGAGAACCTATGAGATGTTCTAGTACTCTTTCGACTGAAGTGTAATGAAGAATATCCCTCAAACAGTTCCGAAAACGTTTTTTGATACGATACGTTTTTTTTAAACAGTGTCAAAATCTAGGGAAATTTCATGAAGTCCCCTGAGTAGCAAACTTGAATTAATAAACTCTTTATTCATCAGAACAACACTATCAGAATGAAACAGAGGAAGCTCATAAGTTTTGACAGGCGCACCGGTGCAACCATCGGTAATTGCAGGGGATGGATATGGCTGTCATATCGCTCAAGTTTGCTGCGTACCGAACATCTGCAACGTTGACAGCGGTACCATGATATGTTTTGTTGTTTTGATGTTGAGTACGTGTATTCAGCTATATGTCAAACCCCTGGGTAATTGAGAGATTTACAACTGACAAGAGATTTAGAGCGAGCTTTTGCGCTCTCTTTCTCCATTACTCTCTTTGCCTGCAATCAGATATCCAAGTGCACAGCCAGAAATGCACGCTTTAGGCACCCATACATCACAGATGTTCTTCTAATTTAAACTCACACATTCAAACCGGTCTGCAAGTATGATAACGTCCAAAGCGTACCAGACTGCTGTTTCCGTGTTGCTCCCGTTTGATGCGTGATTGCTGAAAGTTTCAATTACAACTAGTGGTGCAAACCACCATGTATTGCGGAAAATTTGTGGTACGTTTCAAGTAGTGATAGAAGGTCTGCTTGGTTTACATCAGGCATTTGACCATTCACAAACTTACCACCGCCTCTCAAAAAAGCTCGCTTTTAGGTGCAATATTTAACGAGTTTTGTCAATGCATTAGGGATTAGGCAGACTATCCGAACTGAATTCAATCCTTTTTTAAGCAAACCAAGGTCGAAGATTTAATCGAGCCACATTATAAAATAGTGTATTCATGGTCACTTGTGGTCTGGAGTAAAGAAGTACAGCTATAATGTGACCATAAAATCTATACAAATCTAAGCGCTTTTCTTTAAATCATTTACACATGTGTCGTGCACAGGTTGCACATGTGGACGCGACGTCACTGAGATGTTCTGAGCACTTAAAATTAATACATATTTTGAGAAATCCTTTGAGAGGTTTAGAGAAGTTTAAAGCTTCTCGGATAAGTTCAAAGAACCTTGGAGAAGCTCAGAGAACCTCTGAGATGTTCTGAAAAATTATTAAATGTACGGACATATTTTTAAAAGTTCAGATATATTTTGAGAACTTTTGTGAATTACAATGAACTTCTGGGAAGCTCAGAAATCCTTTGAGAAGCTTAGAATGTTAGCTAAATCCCACTGACCCTAATGGATCAT